GCGATGGGGTGAGCTCCCGTTGCTCGGTCCCTGCTCCTGCCAACCTAGCAGTTCGAAAGCAGGTCAAAGTGCAAGTAGATAAATAGGTATCTTCCGGCAGGAAGATAAACGGCGTTTCCGTGCGCTGCTCTGGTTCGCCAGAAGCGGCTTCGTCATGCTAGTCACATGACCCGGAAGCTGTCTGCGGACAAATGCCGGCTCCCTCAGCCAGTAAAGCGAGATGAGCGCCTCAACCCCAGAGTTGGTCACGACTGGACCTAATGGTCAGGGGTCCCTTTACCTTTGCAGTACCCCAAAGCAGGACCTGATGAATTCAGTCAACTTTACTCCCATTCAGTTCTGTTTTTCTAGAGGTGCTGGAACTCACCATGAATGCCTCCCTGGTTCTCTTATAATAATGGCACTGATGTGCCCCTGAGAAGTGAGCTGAGCTATGGGAAGTTCTGGCTGGAAAAAAGCCCCGCTCCTAGGAAAGTGTGCACAGGATTGCAGCCTCGTAGTGCCATCTTACACATGCTTATCTGAAAACACAGCCCATTGAGCTCAATGGGACTTACTTCAGAGCAGAGATGCATAAGATTGCACTGTCAAAAATGTGCATTTGGAGAGAAAAAACAGTTTACATATGCATATTTATGTATGCATATTTACATAGATAAAAACCAATTTTCATGCAGTTTAAAAAACAAAATCAAAACAGATTAATGTGGAAATGAGGTTCACCAGACTGATGGGTGAACACATGCATAGTGTAATGGACCAGAAAGGCTAATGATCTTTTTTTTTTTTTTTTAAAAAAAAAAAAGGCTAATGATCTCATCCACACTTGGACTAAAAAGGTATTTTCCAAAAGAGAAGACTTACACTTTGCAAACTCTTCACTGGCCTCATGCAAAACTCTCCCAAGCAGCTCCCTTTGTTGGCTTTGCCATTGCCCCTCCCTCTCCACACACACTCCACACATACTGCTAATAGTTCACACCACCCTGCTTCCCGCCCGGCACAATTTAATATAATGAGAGAAATGGCTCCATCGTGGAACTTAATCCCATTGTTATATTTACACAATGACTTATCAACGATATTGCTGGCTAATCTGCTGAATCGTCTTTTGCAGGAAGAGACCCTCTTGATCTTGGAGGTTGCACTGAGTGGGGAAAATAAAGCTTTCCATGCTGTGCTTCTGATGCATACGGAGAAATAAAAAATGGCAATTAAATTCTTGGCACTTCAAGGGAACTATTTTTCCTCCTCCTCCTCCACCACCACCACTGCCTTTTCTTCTTCATATGTGTGACTTTCTCTCTCCAATTAATACCCTCATTTTAATGTAGGGGTGGGGGACCTTTTACAACCCGAAGGCTGCATTCCCTGCATTAGGGTCCACATGGCAGTAATGGGCAGGGTCAGCAGGAAAACTGGGGACAGCAATGAATGCTGGTTTTACCTCTGTACAGTAGGCTACTTTCTACACACATAAACACACACACACATCGCTTCCTGTTGCCCAACCAATGAAGCAAGAGGCACTATCAGAGTTCAAGGACATGTTCCAGCCAGGCAAAAACACTCAAGGAGGGTGCAAAGCAAGGCCGGTAGGCAGGGTGGCCTGGTGACGAGTCCACAATAGCAGGGCCATGGGCTCGGTGGCACCATATCTGCTTTGCTTGCAGAAGATCCTAGGTTCAATCTCATGTATCTATGGGTACAGGGCCTGTCCGCCCAGGAGGCAAAGTGAAGCAGCCCACCTCAGGCAGTGGACTCCTGTGGGGCAGCACCTCCAAGGGCTCCCTGCCCACCTGCCCCTGCCGCCAGGATTGTGTAGCTGCAGCAGCTGCAGCAGCTATTTCTGGTTAGTTCTTGTGCAATCTTGTGGAATTATCATGGGATTTCACAAAACTCTCACGACATCTCACCAGAAGCCGTTGCTGCAGCTGCACAACCCCAGTAAGCAAAGCTTTGGGGGCGAGGGGGCACCTTCCCATTTTGCTTCAGGCATCAAAACAGGATGGGCCTCCCCTGTTTGGGTAAGACTCAGAGAGGCCCTTTCCTGAAGCTCTGGAGAATTAGTCAGATGATGCACCTTACTAGATGATGCACCAATGTTCTGACTCTATATAAGGCACGTTCCCATATGCCAAGGCTTCCTCATCCAAATCCATTGGGCATATGTGAGCCTTTTACCTACTGACTTTGCCGATGAGTGTTACTTTCCGCACAGCTTCCTTTATTCCTTCCTCCACCTTCCAACCCCCGTGGGAGTTACAGAAGCTCTTGCTTTCTCTCTCTGTGCCTTCCTATCTACTTCACTGCCAACAGCTTCACGTCAGAAGGCTGCCTCCTGCCCACATGCCGCTGACAAATTCAGGATGTTTATTCCCCTCTTCCCTGCTCTTACTTGAAGATGCCACAATAATATGGAGGAGGCAAGGAGGCCACATCTGACGGAAGAGACACTCATTTGCAGCTCACCTCCTTCCATCTCTTCTTCCTTATGAGTTCACCACTACTGAAGTTCCTGGGTTACTGCTGGCCCATGTCTAGAAAGTTTCTTTGGGGGGGGGCAGGAGGAGGTGAGCCTGAACCAAGATCCTGGATCTAAGAACCATCAGGATCAGATGGCAAATCAAGAGTTAGGACCAGATGACAAGTCAGGAGCAAGATAGGACCAGATGGCAAGCCAGGAGTCAGTTTGCTCAGGTAGATCTTTTTGCTAGAGCAAAGTCTCATTAAGACAGGAAACCCTCCAAATGTCTCACCGCTCAGATGGAGCCAATGACCAACCCGTGTGAAGTCAGTCCAGAAGGCACTCAAAAACTGCAGGCATGTGACAAAAAGACAGGAAGGATTCAAAACCTGCGGGACCAGAGATTTACAGAAGATTGGAATAAGTATGTGAATTATTTGAAGAGCAACTGTAATCATCAAATTACGCTAGTAGGACTACAAGAAGTTTTGTAAGGAGAAATATATGAAGTGTTACAAAGTAGAAAAAAGATAGAGATATTGGTTATGAGTTTGAAATGTAATAGGGAAGATAAGAAATGCATACTAAGAGATTAGATTGGAAAATTTTCAGACAGGATTGATGGAAGTAAAAAAAAATTGAATAAGATGTAAAAGTATGTTTAATTGCTGTTGAAAATGACATGTTAAAAAACTAATTTTATATATATATATATATATATATATATATATATATATATAACAAACAAACTGCAGGTCACACAGGGCAGCATTCAGCAGTTCCTGATAGTTACTTATTGAGGCCCAGAATCTATAAATGAAATTAATAAGTCCTTTTTAGCCAATGGGCATTGAAGTCAGCACTCACTCCTAGAACAGGTCTTAAACTGGCAGATGAAGGAGTCCATCCAATGTTTGGCAAGATGTTGGGATTTTATCTGCACAAACGAGTGATGGTGGCATTGTGCTAAATAGGGCAGATGCCATGGTTAATGGGGAGTTTTCCAGAAACATGAACGGGGTGGGGGGTGGGGGAGAGGAGGGGGGAGGGAGACTTTCACAGCTGAGCATTTATGTAGTAGTGTGGAGTGTTGCTCACATTCCACAGTGGTGGAGAACCTGCCATTCTCTGGGTGTTGTTGAATTCCAGACTCCCAGCAGACTCAGGCAATATTGCCAACAGTCAGAGACGATGGGAGTCCAGCAAATTATGGAGATCCCCAGGTTCCCCATTGCTAGCCAACATCACTGCATTTATACAACAATCCTGGGCATTTTAATAGTCCCCATTGTGGGGAAACACCTTCACAATTCCCCTGGGAATGACACTATGTATTATTTTTAATATTTTATTTTTCATTTTCACATTTTAGAGTAGAATCACAAATCTGCACTTACAGATCCGATTGAAATAGCCAATCACCGACTCCCCCTTTCTGCAATTACTTATGTTATATCTTTCCCCACTGCATATTCAGTTCATATCTATCGACTAGTCATCCTTTATGTTCTATTTAAGTTATTGTCACTGCACGTTTTTATATCAGCCCTGCTAGAGATTTCAGTTGTTTACAATAATTCTTCAAATAATCAATGTATTTTCCCCATTCTATATTAAAACACCTCTCTTCTTGATTTCTTAATTTTCTGGAAAGTTTCGCCATTTCTGCATAATCCATCAGTTTTTGTTGCCAGTCTTCCTCAGTTGGAACTGTTTCTTCTTTCCATCTCTAGGCATACAACATGCAAGCAGCCATCAAAGCATACAGAAATAGTTTCCTTTGTTCTTTGGGTAATAGGTTAGGTAAACCTATTATTCCTAAAAGAAAAGCTTCTGGTTTTTTTTAAAACAAACATTATTTTCAGCATTTTTAAAACTCATTATATATAATTTTCCAGTATGCTTTTGCTACCTTGCAAGACCAGCACATGTCAAAAAGGTACCCTGCTATTGTATATATGTGCACACACACACGGGACACAGGTGGCGCTGTGGGTTAAACCACAGAGCCTAGGACTTGCCGATCAGAAGGTCGGCGGTTCAAATCCCCGCGACGGGGTGAGCTCCTGTTGCTCGGTCCCTGCTCCTCCCCACCTAGCAGTTCGAAAGCACATCAAAGTGCTAGTAGATAAATAGGTACCGCTCCGGCAGGAAGGCAAACAGCGTTTCCGTGCGCTGCTCTTAGTCATGCTGGCCACAACCCGGAAGCTGTACGCCGGCTCCCTTGGCCAGTAAAGCAAGATGAGCGCTGCAACCCCAGAGTCAGCCACGACTGGAACTAACGGCCAGGGGTCCCTTTACCTTTACCTTCACACACACACACACACACACACACACACACACCACCCTTCATTAATTAAACCATATATACATACATACATCTCACCCTTCATTAATTAAACCAAAACATAAAACACTACAAAATAGGGCACAATCTATGGTAGATCAATCAGATACCACCCGGACTCAGTATGAACATCCTGCTAATGCCCGAGTGAACAGATAGGTCTTCAGCTATATGTTGATGAGTGATGGATGTAGCTCAGTGGCAGAGCATGTGCTTTGCATGCAGAAGGTCTCAGGCACCCCAGGTTCAATCCCTGGCATTTCCAAGTAGGACTGAGAATGCCGCCTATCTGGAAACCTGGAGAGGTGCAGCCAGTCAGTGTAGACTATCGCGATCTGCTTGTTGGTGCCTCCTAGGTCGATCGCGGGATGAAACGAAGCACCAAAAAAAGGAAGGGGGGAGCTCAACAAACTCTGGGCAACCCTAACCCCTTCCAAAAACAGCTCAAGAACTCTGGGCAAACCCTCCCAATGACAATGGGTAGATCACTGCCAGGTTTTTTTTAATAGTGGGAGTAGATCACAGTCTCTTGGGAGTTGGTCGTGCCTGGTGTAGACAATGTTGATGGAGCAATGGATGAAGCAATGGTCTCACTCAGTGTGGGGCTGCACTCTAATTTCCTATGCACATCATTCCATTTCTATTGTGGAATTGCAGAAATTTGCACCCTGTGAATGGAGTGGCAGAAATGGTGAGGGAGGAATGGGCATTTTAGTCCTCTTTTGGACCCAGTTACATGTGTTCCAGTTGCTGCATTAATTGATAACTGTGCTGACACCTGCGTGCAGCTAACATCCCTCCAGAAGATCTTTTAGCAATTGTGGTCGTGCCTCTGGGTCGGTATGTCGAATTGTCAGAAATGGCAGGAAGGGATCAGCTGCTGATTTATGATGTGGCAGGGACAGGGGAGACGCATACCCAGAGCAGAAGCCGCCCCTGAAACTGGGGTCCATCAAAGCACAGCTGTGCTTCCATCCCACCCCCTCCAAAACCTAAGCTAGATAATTTTTAAAAAAACCTGACAACTGAGATTGTAGCACACAAAACCAGAGAAAAGAATTATTTGTTAAAGTAGTGCCGTGACTGTGAAAATTGTCCCAGAGAATCACATCAGAAGCCTCTCCTTCTTTTGAGCTGGGGTATTAATGGACTAAGATTGTCCCATCCAAGAACCTTCCATTATCTCATTTGTTGCAGAGCTACCACACTGAATAGCATAAAGAAGGAGGGGCTCATTGCTCCACCCCTAAAATCCTTCCTGTTCTCCTCTAGGAAGAAAGACTCAGATGGGGTCCTTAATAGCTGGGTGGACACATAAACACATTTTCCTCCTTTTGTGCAAGCCAGTTGTCATTGCTTGCAAATTTGAGTGAGATTATGCAATGTGACACAGTAGGAGGATGTTAATGGGCCATTAGCCACTGAGAAGTGCATTAATGGGTCATTAATGCAAGGCCTGGAGAGTCCTACTTTATAGGATGGGATGTATTGAAAAAGGGAGATCAGCCTCTTGTTCCTTTTCACATTTACAAGGCAGAGAAGGTTGCACAGTATATGGACGGAAAGGTGTTTGCTGTATGAAATGATGAATAAAGTTCACAGCTTCTTTGGTTACCTCCCTAGACATCAACAGATATTAGCGATAGACAAACCTGCCAATTTCAGTATCTCTCAGTTTCTCATTTTTTTCCATTCAAAAATTCAGTTTTCCATATCTCTACTTCAGCTTGTAATTTTCTTTTAAAACCCCTCATGAAAAATTGTCAAATTTTCTTGCACATTTCTCCCAATTTACACATTTTTGCAAAGAATTTGTTTTGGTATGTCTCCACACCCATGTTGTTGTTGGCAAGAGACAAGAGAGTGTGCCTCTGGGGTAAAGTCAAACAGCTGTGTTAGCAGCACTGAATTGACGTCCCCGGGGTGCAAGCCTGGGCAGTGCATTTGGAGGTCCTGGACTGCCCAGATAACAGGACCCCCTTCTCAGCCTCACTGATGTGGTCCAAAGGAAAGCAGAGCAATATGTTGGGCACCAGCTTGGCTGCAGAGGTTGCCAGAAGCAGTGGCAGACTTTGGGCTCTCAAACTTCAGTGGTGCCCTGTAAAGGTAAAGGGACCCCTGACCATTAGGTCCAGTCGTGACCGACTCTGGGGTTGCAGCGCTCATCTCATTTTATTGGCTGAGGGAGCCGGCGTACAGCTTCTGGGTCATGTGGCCAGCATGACTAAGCCGCTTCTGGCGAACCAGAGCAGCGCACGGAAACGCCGTTTAACTTCCCACTGGAGGTAACCTATTTATCTACTTGCACTTTGGCGTGTTTTCAAACTGCTAGGTTGGCAGGAGCAGGGACCGAACAACGGGAGCTCACCCTGGTGCGGGGATTCAAACCGCCAACCTTCTGATCGGTATACCCAAGAGACTCAGTGGTTTAGACCACAGCGCCACCCGCGTCCCTGATAGACACGCATAGGATTGTAATATAAACTTATTTTTCTAACATTCATCAATTTTATAAAACAGTCCTAATAGTAAAAAAAGAAAGAAATACAAACAGATCCAATCTTCATCCAGCGTCCCTTCCTCCTGGTCCCGGGTTTTGTCAGTCCTTATTATCCCATCGATCTAGCGCATTAACCTGGCAACCTTATATCCGAGGCCCTCAAGTCTCTTCCATGTCCCTTCCGCAGCTCTTCTTCATATTTGTAACTGTATTTTCCTTGTCTCCTGCTCGTGGTAACTCCAGCTTGGCAATATTTGTGACCAGTTCTGACAGATCAGCCCCTTACCATATTCAACACTAAATTCATGTGATGTTTAAAAGCATGTGTCAAATACCTGCAGAATTAAGAGTCCCCACAGATCCCGAACATCTCACGGCCTCATTGCCAGATTTGAAAGGTCTGAACATCCCAGCATAGGGGTCAATTCAGCCTCGATTTCAAGCCAAACCAAACTTTTCTTGCGAAATGCTGGCTATCTTCCAAGTTCATCTGTCAAACGGAAGCTCATATTCCTGTTGGGCCTGTTCTGTCAGGACACACTCCTGATTTAATTCCTGGGTGGGCTCACAGACTTGTCCCACTGTCTGTTCAAAATTTCCACTGCCTGTTCAAAATTTCTAGTCGAAGTTGCCATCAAATTCATCTTCTCATGTAACTGTTCCAGTAGGGCATTTGTTTTATAGAAAGCACACAACAGAGCTTCTGAATACATTGTCCTGCAAGGTCAAATGTCTATTCCCACAATTGTAATCTGTAACAGCTGCCGGCTCCCTGGAATTGGTTACAGTTTCACAGTCGCCTCTAGGGGAAAACTTCATTTGTTCTTGCAACAAAGTTTTCCTTTGAGATATCTTGTCAATATTTGTTCCTTTAAAATGTGAAAGGAAACAGTGGAATCACTATGTTTCTCTATTTTAGCTATCTGTCAAAACGTTTGTCTCTGGTCAATGAGCTTCAAACGTCAGTCCTGACACCTGCTCCAGGATCAGGACGGTGGAAAGTTACTTTACTTTAAACTCACTTTAAACAGTCCGAAAAGATCCCCTTCTTCTCCTGCTGTCGAAGGGGGGTTCCACAATTTTAAATGATGAAATCTAATCCTTTAAAGGCGATTTTCTAAGCTCTAGTTTACGTTGTCTTTGCTTTATTCTGTCTACAAAAGAACGGAAGGCTGACTTCCTGTTTAGACCTTCCCGTTTAGTACCAAATTGAAATAAATTTTTAAATCCAATTCCTTTCTGCTCGCAAGTCCTTATTTAAGGTCCAGTTGTTCAAAGTTTAAGTACTCACGGGTGCTTATTTTAGAGTCCGACTTGTCCCAGGAAAAAGGCAGCGCTCTCCGGCAACGGCTATGTGGCTTCGCTCCACGGAAATAGCAGTTGACTCACAGCACCGCGCCACTTCCCCCTCTTCACTTTGGAGCACGTTAATGGGTTCCTTTGCGAGTTGGGAGGGGCGCTAAAGGTGCCCGCCGAGTCCCATGGTCACAGGCTTCATCCGCCTGTGATTTTTAAAAGGGTCCCCGCTTCGCCGTAGTGTAGAAGACCCGTTTCACGTGGAGCTAGTCCCTCCAGTTCAGAGGGAGTCCGCCATTGCCGATGGCGCCACCCCGGAAGTCCACGGCTAATCAGCATTTTTAGCTTCTTTATGTTGAAGTTTATTTGGGTTTGCGTCAAAATGCCTATGGATATTGCCTTGTGTTGCTTTCAATCTGTTACATCTTTGTATTGCGATGGCCTGATGACTTGTTCTGCATTTGGACTCTGGAACTCCCTGCCTGTTGACATTAGGTAGGCACCTTCCCTAGCGTATTTTAGTTGCGTCCTGAAAACTGTTCTCTTTCAGCAAACCTATCCATTCTGTCCGGACACTGAGGTCCAGCGCCGAGGGCCTTCTGGCGGTTCCCTTGCTGCGAGAAGCCAAGTTACAGGGAACCAGGCAGAGGGCCTTCTCGGTAGTGGCACCCGCCCTGTGGAATGCCCTCCCATCAGATGTCAAAGAGAAAAATAACTACCAAACTTTTAGAAGACAACTGAAGGCAGCCCTGTTTAGGGAAGCTTTTAATGTTTAATAGGTTATTGTATTTTAGTGTTTTGTTGGAAGCCACCCAGAGTGGCTGGTGAAACCCAGCCAAATGGGCAGGGTATAAATAATAAATTATTATTATTATATTATTATCCAGACATGTTTTGTGTATAACTGGACACTGCTTGATGCTTGGTTTTTTTGAGCAAGGAAGAGGCAGCAAGAGGTATGACCATCGTTCATGGAGATGTTCCAGCCAGGCAAAAGCACTGCAGGAGGGCATAATGAGCAGCGTGGCATAAAGAGGAAACCAAAGGCCAGACAGAGAGGCCTGGGGGGGGACGACTGAATTTTGAACCCAGGCCTGATGTAGAGGTTCTGGAATGGAGTTCCAGGCATAAGGGACAGAAAGGGAGAATTTGTAGAACTGGTGGTGGATTCAAGAGACCTTTGGGCAGAGGAGGATAGCAGTGTTTGGGGCGTGAAGGTCACAGGCAGGGATATTTGCTATGGGTCAAGTTCAAGGTGTTACTGCTAGTATATAAAGCCCATCACAGCTTGGGATCAGTTTATGTGCACTTGGATATGCTGAACTGTCATGGTCACAGGTGCCACATAATACTCATACCTCACCTATAAGAAGTCAAATCTTTTAGCGTGGTAGCACCTACACTTTGGAACTTCGCCGTGCTCTTTCCAGCACTTGCTAGAAACATTTTTATTTAGGCAAGGCTATCTG